AGACAGCAACATAGATTTGATTCCCAATTTGTGTGATGTAAGATGAATTTGCTTTGTCAAACAGTCTGATAACTATTCCATAGTGGTCTGGTGGTGGTGAACTGTCTACTTGATCAGTCATGGTGTGTATCTGATTGGTGCAACGATACTCAGGAGCAAGAATTTAAGGATTCCTACCACCCTATTGACCACTTTTCTATGGCTTTACATTGAAAAGATAGGGGTTTTTTCTGAATTCTGGGTATGTTTTAATGTGTTAGGCAGAAACTATGGAATTTTATCCAATTTTGGCCCCTCCCAACTCGGGAGAACTAAAAAACCATGCCTATAGACGGGTGAAGGCTTTAGAGGGGGACAGCTTTAGAAGGGTTTGACTGTACTTTGGTCCTAGAAACTCCTTCCACCACATCTTGTGGTGTCCCAATGTGCCTTAGAAAATCATACAATCTTCACAAACCTTCCGTACACCTTATCCTTCAGTGAACACATTCAAAGTCCTCACAACAGGATTCTTGTGATTAGATTTGTTGACCAGAAGTTCAGTGCTTTGATCAATTATTTTTGATTGAAGAAGACCTGTGAGGAACTTGTAAAGTAAGTTGTAAGATGCCAACCAGGTAGTATTGATCAGTAGGTCCTGGCTCAGATCCTTCTACAATGCCATCTAAGTTTTTCATCATAATGTAAGACTCAACCTTCTAATGCCATGGTAGGTGTAGGTGATTTGATGGAGCCGAGAAGGACTACATAGTTGATCTAGTATATTGTTCTTGGGGGAGTTAGGTATGGAGTCATTCTCAGAGTTGGAAATGTGCATGGATCAAGTTTGGATGATTTGATCCCAACTGGGCTCATCACCTTTAGAGCTGTGCCTTTGGAAGAACACAAGACGTTTTCAGGAAGGTAAAGAACACAAGTGTGCTGAGAAATACAAGTACCATTGGGATAGAGACAAAAGATAAGAATGGACGAGAAAAGGAAACTACAAAGTAGTAAACACATTCATGCTTATAGAGAACATTGTCTTGTAACAACCAGGTAAAAGCAAGTAGATTGAGGAAGCAAAAGAACTTATGATGACATGATAGAAATGAAATGAGAGTACACCATAGAGGAAATTAACTCATGACAAAGTGATAATGAAAAGGATTAGTAATAGAGTTAATTATCCTAATATGTTTTCAAAGTGTTAATTATTGAATTGAAACCCACTTTGCTTGTACTTCATACTTTTAGTTCTAGAAAGCAATGACAGTTGCCTTAGTTGATTTGTAGGATAAGTTAGGGTGAGTAGGGAAGAACCACACATAACATATCTAATGTTGTATGATGTATCTTTAGATTCTTGATAACCCCTCACACTATATGTTCATCTGACTGATCATTCATTGGAACTTCGTGAAATATATAATTACAGCATATAAGAGTTCAGTCTAACCTGCACATGATCACATCATTTGGATGGAAGTCATGCTGTATGCATCCAGGATGGTTATGCAATTTGGTTCTCAAATTTGGCATCAAACAGTTTCAAGATCAAGGGTTTTTGGTATGTATTCACACTGGTCACAGTACAGTTCCAGGACATACAATTGTGCAGGTGAGACTGAAGTGTTACATGATGAGGTTCAACTGAGATAGACTTCTGCTGCTTTGAAAAGTCTTACACATGTATAAGCAAGGCAATATGGACATGTAGATGGTTGTGGCTCTCTCACTCTCTCACTATCTTTATTGATAGACTTTGTTTGTTATTGAATGCTGTTTTTTATTTCAGATACAGGAGTTCCAGTAGACAAAAGAAAATGATAAAAAGAAAAAAGGGAAAGAGAAAAAAAGAGAATGCAAAAATAAAATGAAATAGATAGTTATGGAATGTATTGCAAAAGAAATTGAGAAAGAAAATGTTTGAACTTTTTTAGATTAAGATTAGATGATGTGTCAAGTCCTATGAAGACCATCAACATCAGACTTTTTGTGATGAATTTAATATGTTTCAAGATCAAGATTGAATTCCAAGCCAAAAGAATGATCCAGGTCCATGAGCCTCAAGAATGTGTCAATGTCAAGACTTTGATCAGCATGAGCAAAATGTTGTGTTTCCACTTCTATGAGTTCATCCGTGATCAGTATCGAGTTGAAAGGCTTTTCCAGAAGATCCGACGGTGATTGAAGAAAATTTGTCGGCTTCTCTGGATCCGGAGAAGGTCCGCATGAATCACATGTAACAAATTTGGGTGGTGAGGATTTGGAGGACACGCTCCTCGAAGAACAAAGAGTTTCAAGATCAGATGAATCTGATCTACGATGACGGGGTTTGATGAAAGTCTTGTTTGCCGTGGATGGAATCAATCGAGTACTTGTGGTTGGAGGTGTTGAAGTGGAGTCGAGAGAATTCAGATCTGAGCAACCGAGCAGTTCCTGCAGTATCTGATTGTAGATCTCGAGCTGAGGAGTTTCCTCCTCAGCAAGAGGCTCGGCAGGGGAAGGTGCTGTGATGCTCGAATCAATCGCTTCATGGACGTAAAAAGATTCCTCAAGATTGTAGTGGAACTTCCCTCCGAAAGACAATTCCACATTGAACTCGTTGTCCATATGTACAGAGAGATTGAGGTCACCAAATGATTCTTCGCCTTCAATACTGAGATCGAGATCAAAATGATCATTGTGATCACCAAAAGAGAGCTCAGACCGTGAACAGAAGCTCCTTATAGAGTTTTCTAAGTGAGATTCAATGTTTTCTTGAGATACGGAATCAATTGAATCACAACTTGTGGGGGTTGCGGATGTGAGCAAGGACGGTACAAGTGAACTGGAAGAGATTTGAGAAGGTTCGGGAGAGTTGATGGGAGAAAAGCCAAGTAGATCTTCAAGCATTTGATTGTAAATTTGAAGGTGAGGAATTTCGTTTTGGGAGAAATTTGCGATTGTAGAAGATGATGTCTGAAGGCAGACCGACTGAAGTTGGAGAGAATGTTCAGGCAAACAGTACTCGTTGATTGAAGAGTAGTTTTCCGCTTGAAATGAGGTCTCGAAAGCAAATTCTTTGTCAAAGTGGACCGATGTGTGACGATCACCAAATGAAGCTTCCAAGTCAAAACTTAAGTCAAGACAAGAATAATCACTCTGATGCTGGAAAGACTCGTCGGGATGAGTTTGTTCTTTGGCCTCACTACAAAAGGATAACTCGGATTCATCGGTTTGGCCAGAAGAAGTTTGGCCGCGAAACATGGATGTGAGCTTGAGAACAGGCGAATGGGTGGCCGATACGTCGAGCGACCATGTAGATTCAATAGAGCGTGTTGCCATCGACTCGTCAACATTGATAGTAGACACGGCGGCCGCACAAATCTGAACGGGAGATGCAATTGCGATCTGAGAAAATAAAGTGATATCAGAAATCAGCATTGGAGGAGATGGTAGAAAAGCGTGAAGACATACCTCTTCGGTTGAGAAAGAAGGTCCTGTGATAAGTTTTTGGTTAGAATGAAGTCTGACGAGCAAAGCATCATAAGCAGCCTGTAAAGATAAGTGTCAGCAATGGGATCTTGTCGAAAACACTGGAGTGAAAAGAATGATTTACCTGTGGTGACTGAGAGACTGCAACCTTGTTGAACACACACAAAGGGTTCAACAAGAACATCGCGGGCAAGTTAAGACCGAGAGAGAGGTAAGACATTGTTCTGGATATTGTGGTTAGGAGACGGTGTAGAAAGGTGAGGTGATAGATGATCAAGGACAAGAAGAGTCAAGATCGAAGGATGAGGGATGAGGGATACGAGGAAAGGATATTGTGGTTGGGATGGAAGTTGTGGAAAAATTGGTAGATGGTGCTCGGAAGGGAAGCAGTGGATGATATTTTTGAAAGTTTGGAGTTAGAAGAAGAGGATGATGGACGAGGATAATTTGCAACAAGTGATGGCATTTTATAAGGTTTTTGCATCTCCAGTTGTTTTGAGAATTGCAAAAATGTGGCAAGAGGAATTGTTCCTGTCGCGCGCGTCACTAGCTTGGTCAACACCAGCGTTCCTTGATCCAGGCACTTTGCCCCATGTCGACCACTATCAATCTTTCATTCGAGGATTCGTATCTCTTCTGGCTCAGCAAAAAACATATCACCACTCCCGAGTCCCTATAGCCGCTCGAACCGCCGATATTGCTGAAATGACGGTCACTCGGCGCGCGCACCGTCATTGACCCAATTCAAGCGTCAGGTTTGAGGTTTGAGTTGAGCTTTAGTCGCCACCCAGCTTTCTCAAGGAAAGTACTTCCATCGAATATGACCATCATCAGCAAACCACAAATCGTGATCCTCACTAGCCGCCTGATCTGTTGCAGATCGCCCAAACCCGATCACTCCTATTGCTCCGGCTCCATTCTGAATTGGACTGGGTCATCACACATACCGCTGCTAAGTCCTTCGAAATCAAGTAATCAGTCAATTTGATCAAATTTGAAGTGCAAGAACAATCTTCACAACCTTTGTCGATGCCGCTCACACATTCTCGTTTTAGTTTACAGTAGTTTGGCAATATTTCCAAAACTACCGACGTTCAGGCAATCGCCTCTTCGAACCATTCAGTCGAGCTGCCTTCAGTTTCGCATTGCGGCACACACCGGCGGCCACCACAATAGGGAATTTGCTCGTAAAACAGAGGACTTCATCGGTCGACCTTAACTCCCTGCGTCCTACGTCATTCCGCCAATACCTCATGTGACACGGGGATCCAGTCAGACCCTGAATTCAAAATCACCGCTGAAGCGACTTTAGATGTGTAAACCGATACAACCGAGGGATAAATATGATAGGCCATTTGCATAGGCCACAAGAGCGATCTCTTTTCATCTCTTGGCTCCAAGTGTTCATGGAGCTCAGAGGAGGGACCCTGCGCTATGATATTTAGCATGTACTATGGGAGTCTCGAAGCACACACGATGCCAATAAGCAACATTTGATTCGTACTTCAACACATCTTCATACATAGCCCATCTTGAATGATTTTTGAAAGAGCCAGTCACTTCGAGTCGTTCGTTTTACAATTCAAGGTATGTTGATGATATATGTGCCAATCTCAAATAAATGAATTCATACATCAAAAACGAGAGATCACAAATGGTACTAAAACAGAGAACGGATGGTTGGATGCGTATGATCAAGTTCTTTGATTATATCTAATAAGGCAGACAATATATCACTCAGGTAAGAAACATACAAGTTGAATTGGTTAAAAATATGGATTTTTTTGTTCGTTTTGCGTCGGGATAAACATTTTCTGGAAGAAAGAAATGCATGGAATTTTGATTTATCTTTCATGATGAGAGACTTTCGGCTTGTTTCTTGGCTTGTAATGCACAGAGCGCAGCTCCTACTCCAGATCCATCTTTAGCTAACCCAATCACCAATCTATCACAGACAGACTTATCAAACAAGTCTGTTAAGGCTCCCATCATCCTTTGTTGAAATTTGGGATAATGTTCAATCACACTACCATCCACCCCAATCGCTAGCGTTCCCTTTGGGTCCGTTTGCCTGATGATAGTAGCAATGGCCGTAGCCGAAAGCCTAGCAGCACGAGTCGCTACTATTTCACATATACGTTGGATCATCACACAATCAGCATCAGAAGCTTGAACTTCAAAAGAGGTGGTGATGATCTTCTTTGTTGCCTTTAGCCACATATCATTTGAGCTATTGTCGCGACCAAGCTCTATAGCGCTCATAAGAGCAGTGTCTATCCCGTAATGTGTGTTGAGATCGCGACTGGATAGACCTTTGAAGATGATCAAATTGTCGAGGAAATCAAGGATGATGTTCCTGGTCAATTCACCGAGATACATTCCTGAGATCATCTTTTCGAAAGCTTGCTTCCTCGGATTCATCGACTGTCGATCGAGTTTGTTATCATACTTGGTAACGGGAAGAACTTTGCGCTGGAGATCGAAAGTTGAAGACAACCGCCGGGAATAGGTACGAAATGCGTGAGGAAGAGTCAGATAAGCTAGCGATTTTGATACCAATGTATTGCATAATCAAATGCAGAGGACAGACCTCGTTATCGAATGCTCCCCATTCAGTGTTGATGATCATGTGATTGAATTTTTGTGATTTACTCGTCAACTTGTCAACTTTGTCGAGATTTTCTACGTAAGCGCCATTGGTACCGGTTCCAAAAATTGCGCCTACTATTGCACTACCAGACTGATAGGCTCTTGCCATCAATGTACCAGTTCTATCATCATTCAGAAAAAACAAGCTTAGAACTTCGAATTAGAAACTCAAAGTAGAGTAGGGGCATCTTACGTGTCGTTCACCAGGGCATTACAATGAACCTGTAAACCTCTACTATCTAATGCATCCTGAAGTAGCTTGACCACATCATTACCGACAGCACCCGACGCTTTGAAACCCTATTAACAAACATAACGTAACAAGAAGTGTACTTGAGATGAGTGACTTGGTTTGATCAGAAAGATGGCTTATGATCGGAAGGGGCGGAAGAGAGAAAAGTGAGACTGAAGTCTACCTTTGTCCAAGCAATCAGTTTTCCTTTATCTAATGCAGTTTGATGAGCCGGAAAACTAAAGGTGAAACCAAGATGAAGTCTTTCATCTGAAGACAGATCATGACCTAGTTCCACCAAGAATTTCTCAACGCAATCGGCAATAAAACCGAAAAGTTCGGCGGCTGTTCCCTACCGATCAAAAGGTTTCCAAATTTCGACAATCTTTGGGTGAGTTTGATCATGAGGTAAACAAGATTGAAATGTTGGGCTCACTGTTTTGACTTCATCTGATAACTTGTATTTATTGGACTTGATTGAAAAGGTCTTATCTCCGTTCAAATTCACCTCACATACCCTCAAGTTTGTGCCACCCAAATCCAATGCGAGAAAGATACCTTGTTCGTCTCCAGTGGGAACATCCTAGTTAAACAATCAGAAAACGGTCAGTCTTTATGATCGGATCTGGATTACCGAGGAATTGCCACATGGATGTGGAACACATTGTCATAAAGAATCGTCAGAGAGAGAGAACTGAAAGGGTGAGTCACCTACGTGAATGAAGGTCGGAATCATAGGTAGAAAATTGTGATTGTGAGTATCAGTTAAAGAAGGGACTTGACCAAGACCTCGAGTGAATTCCTCCAAAAAATGATCGACCACCGCTGATAATTTGGATTTGGAAACATCAAACTCCCCTAAAAAATACAAGCATGATGAGAATAGTTAAAAAGTGAGTTAGGAAAAAGAAAGAGTATAAGACTTACATTCTAGATTACGAAGAGCAGATTTCTGAGCCGATGATAGTTTCTCATATAAATCGGTAGGGATTTGAGTTAGATAAGAAGGAGAAGGTCGAGAATCATTAAGTTGGTTGTTGATAGTAGTGGCAGTGGTGGAAGTGGTAGAGTTGATTGGCTGAGTTGATTCGGCCATGTTGTTTTGGCTTGAATGTTGGTTTGAAGGTTGAAAGCATGTAAAGATAAGCTGATAAAGAGAGATAGAGAGAGAGAGAGGATGAAATCTAAAACTTGCAAGTGATTGGATTGGTGTAATTGATAGAGTGGTAGTGGTAGTGGTTAGTGATGACCGAAAGCTTAGATTGAATATGAGAAACGATGTGAAGTTGATTGATTCATCCTTTTAGTACATACATTCTACTTTCTACTGCTTTCTTTTACTGCTCAATCAAATCAAAACAATCGATAACTGTTGATCAAGTTGGTAAGACTATGTAGCCGGTGATCGGAGGTGAGTGCCTGTTCTATGAGATTACAAATACTCGGAACTCGGTCAACTGATCAAATCAATCAGCTTGAGTATCGGCAAGACCGCTTGATGAAGTGTTATTTTAAAACGTTTCAACTGCGCATGCTCAATTGATTTGGATTCGCTCAATCGTCATTTCTTTATCTTACTTTACATACATACTTTGTACCTTGATGGATCGCATTCATTCCAATATGTCCTGCACAACTTCATCCTTCACTTCATCAAGAGACTCGCAACAGGTCGCCACATCCGGTCGGCTCCGTATCATGATTCATACCTGTACTGCTTCCTTGTAACACATACCACAAGATACCACACGTGCGCACATGGCTCTTGGCGGGCGCAAGTTTGGGTATCCAGACACGCCCAAGCTGACCAAGCGCGACGTGGGTTCTTGTTCAGAGGAAACCTTGTCACAGGCTCAATCAAAGGACTTCTAAAAGGAAGACCCTTGGTCTTGTCTTCCGCTAAGGACCCCACAGATTGAATTTGAATGCGAAGAAATCAAATGAACTTCTTGGAATGTCATATACACACTTCAATCATTTCCTGTGTCAGGGATTCCATCACGATAAACATCAGGTAATTTGAAGTCAGGATTATTTCCAACTTCAAATGTCCTCAACCTATAGAGTAAAGCTACTTTGAGGGATATACAATCTGGCAAAAAATAACTTGGTTAGGTAATTATCACGTCTCAGCTTGAAGGTTTCAACAAGATGTTGATCACATTGAAGCATCTCCAAGATTAAGCCTTGAGTGAATGCTGATGGTCTGAACTTTGAAGAAAACTGGAGATAGGAGGGTATGATTTCAAACTTGTTGAGCAGATCCTGAGCGCCTTCCATCCTCTTCCATCATGATGGCCGAAAGTTTCGTAGCCCAGCTTTGATCTCACACACAAACATGAAACACCCCGGACCGACTCACGAGGATGAGCTGTGGCCCTGGCCTGGGGGGCCACGAGACATCCCGGGTACGGCATGACGGGAAGCCCGAGGCCAGGGTCCGGTGAGTGTAACTCCTCGAAGCTCGAGCCGGGTCTATTTTACGGTTTACCACCACTCAAGCTCGCCGGTGTCACACACACGCACTTTTAGAGCGCGCCCGCCCCTCAAGGCACCGAGCAACAGACTTCCATCGATCGTTGTCCCTCTTGACCCACTCTCACTCTTTCCACGCCTTAATCAATTCACAGAGGCTTGAAGGCATGAGAAGAACTTCTTACACATATAGGACAATCCCACTTCAAGTTCTCTTCGCCTTTCGCCTTGTCTCGATCATAACTTTGACGCATATACTCAGCGCGTGACGTTCATGCTGGGTTTCCCTTGAAGTTGTGATTATCTCAAATGCAAGTATGACCTTCATCTGATCAAATGAAATATCTCGAAGTTTTTGGCTTTTAACTGATGTCCTGTCTTTGTGAATCTAGTTTGAAGTGTCATATATTTGTCTTAGTCGTACGGCACCTTTGCTGATCAATCTGGTCACTTACTCAAACAGAAGGCTGCTGTTTCAATATGAGTGAAGAGGATACATCAACTGATCACAGCGGAGTGACCACACCGACTGTGCCATTATCTCCAACTGCCGATCTCCCTCTCTCACCACCGATCTATTCGACTGAGGACTCAAAACAACTTCAACCTGTTTCAGAAGATGGTCTCGTGACATCTGCCCCGCCTAAATCTTCTATCGATGAATCACCCCCTCAGATGATAAATGGACACGAGGTTTCGGAACATGAGAATAGCGTCGAATTAACTTCTTCATTGGCCTCAAGTACCAATCAGAATGGAACTCCCACGGATGAGCAGGCTGATAGCTTCCAAGATGTACCCCTCGAGGCACTTCACTCAGATATTACTCCAAATGGACATCAGCCATCCCCAGACTCTACGTCAAGGCAGCCACAGCTTACGAATCATGAGATTCCCACCATCGAGATAGAATCTGTTGCGTCTCGCCGCGTCTCATCCAACTCTTCAGACTGCACGGAGCGTGGCCCAGATGAGAAAAGCCCCATATCACCGGTCAATGTCCCTCTCCCTCCCTCACCTGCTTCAGCCACAAGCGAGAAATTTTCAAGGTCATCAACATCCACCTCTCCTAACTCAGCGAGCTTTGCTCGTGATCGCTCGACCCTTGCTTCTTCTGTATCCGGTCCCGCAACGTCAATCCAGACTCCATCACCCGTCTCAGCTGTCCTGGTGATATCCTCTCTCGAAACCATCATCGCATCAAAGGAAGCCAAACGATCCCAAGAGCTCAACGAAGCCACTCGTGCTGCGCTGGGTCTTTTGAAGGGTGATTCTGCCCCGATCGAATCACAGAAACGTTCGACTTATTATCCTGAAGCGCACATCATCATCAAACCGCTCAGGCTAGCATGTCAAACCCGCACTCCAGCTCTTATGGTTACGGCTCTGGACTGTATTGGAAAGCTAGTGTCCTATAGCTTCTTCAGAGTCGACAGCGGCCAGGATCATCACTCAGCCCATAAGTCTGTGTCATCATCAGCATCAGCTCCTCAAGATACTCCAAACCTTGATGTATCTGGCATATCCTTGGGTGATGAAGTCACTGGCATTATATGCGATTGTTTTGCAGACGCGTCTTGCCCAGATGCTGTACAGCTTCAGATTGTAAAGGCCATTCTGGCTTTGGTGTTGGCTCCCTCTAAACAAGGTGGTGATTGTCTCGAAGTTCATCAAAGTAGTCTTCTCCGCGCAGTTCGAACTGTATACAACATATTCTTGCTCAGTAAGAGTCCAACTAATCAAGCTGTAGCTCAGGGTGCACTGACCCAAATGGTTGGGCACGTCTTTGGTCGAGTGGAAACCGGAGATGCAGCGGCTGCTCGAGTTCTTCCTCATTTGGCTACTAAGAGGTCTCCTCCTCTAGACCACACAAGTTCTATCGCCGAAAACCAGCACCCACAGGACAGACGTTTCTCTTCATCGATGCCCTCTGAAGTTGGCTCGAAAGGCGTTCAAGCCGACCAGAATGGCTCGTCTGGATCTTTGACCGAAAAAGAGAACTCGTCGATACCGGAGGGTGGCGAAAACTCGGCCTCACATTCACCAGACAGCTTAGCATCTACTTCACCTCCCCTCGAAGGTCAGAAGGGGACACCAAGGCCGAATGGGCCACCTGAAGAACCCGTCACACTGTAAGTCGCGTGACTGATAGCTCATTTTCAGTCCCGTCGCTCATTTTTCATCTCCGCATCTCGTATATGCGCTTTCTGTGACCTTAGCGAGTCTTTTGAAAAGCGCAACTCATTTGACGGCGTTTCTGAAAAGGATGGTATTGGGAACGCTGGTGCCATGAACATTCAGGATTATTATGTCAAAGATGCATTTTTAATCTTCAGAGCGTTTTGTAAGCTTTCGATGAAACCTTTAGGGGCTGAAAGGTGGGATTTAGTCTTACCGCTCGTGTAAAGTTCTGAACTGATGATAGACTGATCTCACAGTGAACGAGATCTTAAATCACACGCCATGCGTTCAAAGCTTTTGTCACTCCATCTTATTCTGAGTATCCTCAGTACGCATCTTCCCATGTTCACCGATCCCAATGTTATCATCTTTTCATCGACATCCCAAGAACAAACACCGTTCATCCAAGCAATCAAACAGTATCTTTGTCTCAGTCTCAGTAGAAATGCAATTAGCTCAGTCTTGACTGTGTTCGAATTGAGCTGTGAGATATTTTGGAAAGTTGTCAGCGGGATGAGGACCAAATTAAAAGTCAGTATTCCAACGACTTCTGATGACATCCAAAACCAAGAGTCCTAAGCTTTGACAACGTGTTTGACTGCAGAAAGAAATCGAAGTCCTTCTGAATGAGATCTTTCTGCCAATACTCGAGATGCGAAATGCCACGGTGAAGCAGAAGTCAATACTTTTGGCAGCTCTTGGTCGACTATTTCACGATCCGCAAGCGTTAGTGGAGATGTACTTGAACTACGACTGTGATCGAACGTCACTCGGTAATATCTACGAGCGGTTCATGAATATCGTCTCGAAGCTAGCGACCACTCAATACACTACGTCCACAACTACCTCCCAATCAGCGGAACTGATTGGATCTCCCAATGCCCCCGGCCTCGGGTCCATGTCTTCACTTGGAGGAGGATTAGGAAACTCGCCGGGAATCACAGCCATTCCACCCTCTCTCAGCACTACATCTATGCTGCAGGGGATGGCTGACTCTACCTCCTACTCTCACCAGGCTGTCGAGGGCCAATTGAAAAGGCAAAGTTTAGAATGCTTGGTAGCAACGTTGAAGTCTCTGGTTGCTTGGGCCGGCAAGGGTGCAGTTCAAAGCGATCCACCTCTACCTGGCCAACTTGACCTTGGCACGAGAGAAGATCCCAATACGAGTTCGCGATTGTCGAGCTCTCTGTCTCGATCTCTTCCCGATCACGAGGATGACTCAATCGCAGAAGCTACTCCGCCGGTTCGGTTAAGCGGAACAGAAACTGAGCTACCTACCAACTCGGCTGTCGCAACAGTACATGACGATCCTACAAAATTTGAGACAGCAAAGCATCAAAAAACAACTCTACTTGAAGGTATTAGGCAATTTAACTTCAAGCCAAAACGCGGGATCAAGTTCTTGATCGCCAACGGATTTATCCGCAACTCAAAGCCTCCCGAGATCGCACGTTTTTTACTGACTGCTGAAGGACTAAGCAAGGCTATGATTGGAGAATATCTTGGTGAAGGGTGTGTACGACTTGAGCAAATCTTTGACCTTTCATTCATTATCTAACTTACGTATTCATGTTCCAGAGATCCAGAGAACGTCGAAGCGATGCACGCGTTCATTGATTATATGGACTTCAGTAACATGAGGTTTACCGAAGCGATGCGTAACTTCCTACAGGCGTTCCGGTTGCCTGGTGAAGCTCAAAAGATTGATCGTTTCATGCTAAAGTTTGCCGAACGGTATTTCCAGGGCAATCCTGGGACTTTGGCTAATGCAGGTATGTTACAAGGCCTAATCGGTAGAAGTCCAGCTAAATTTGATGCCCTGTGTCTTCCTTTTTGCTTGCATTTGAAAGAAACGGCCTACGTTTTGGCGTTCTCGATTATCATGTTGAATACGGATGCGCACAGTCCACAAGTAAAAAATAGGATGACTAAACAGGAATTCATCCGGAATAATCGTGGAATCAATCAAGGTGCCGATCTACCGGAGGAATATCTTTCAGCCGTCTATGACGAAATCTTAGCAGATGAGATCCGTATGAAAGACGAGGTTGATGCTGCCGTTGGAATCCAATATGTGCCAAGCGGTCTTGCTGGAAGCATAGCGACTGTTGGGCGAGATCTTCAAAAAGAAGCATATGTGCTGCAGTCAGCTGGCATGGCAAATAAAACTGAGGTATTTGTACCAAGCTCTGGTGATCTTTTGGACTCAGGCTAACATGTATTCTCAGATTTTGTTCCGAACACTTTTACGAGGCCAAAGACAGAGTAGCAACAGAGAAAACGATGTGTTTTTTGAAGCGTCACATTTCAAACACGTGCGACCGATGTTCGAAGTTGTCTGGATGCCGTTGCTAGCTGGTATATCCGATCCACTTCAGAATTCAGATCAGATGGACATGATTACTCTTAGCTTAACAGGGTTCAAACAAGCCATCAAGATTGTCTGTTTGTTTGACCTCGAGCTTGAACGTAACGCCTTTGTAACTACCTTGGCCAAGTTCACTTTCCTCAACAACTTGGGTGAGATGAAGCCAAAGAATGTCGAAGCAATCAAGACCTTACTTGATGTTGCGATGGTCGATGGAAACTACTTAAAAGGCTCGTGGACTGACGTGTTGGCATGCGTCAGTCAGCTTGAGCGATTCCAGCTCGTCTCACAAGGTGTTGATCTTGGACAAGGACCAGAGCTAGCGCGTCGAGGGTACGGCCAATTCTTCTTTTTGCAGGCGTTATATCATTTTGCTTACTTGTCAGATCGGTCACGCATTGAAGGTCAACAGCCAGATCAGGAACAAAATTGAAGAATAAGAAACCTTCGGATGAAGTGACGGGAGCTGCTGGCGCCAGTCATATTACGCATGCAGCCGACATGGTTTTTTCATCAACTCGGACTTTATCAGGAGTCAGTATCTCTTACTGAGTCATTTTTCTGAAGGAGGCTGACTCGTGATATTCAAACTTTTTTGTACCGCGCGATGACCAATCCTTAGACAGCAATTGTAGACTTTGTCAAAGCGCTGAGTGAAGTTTCTTGGCAAGAAATTCAGGCCGCTGGAGCTTCGGGAACTCCTCGGACATTTTGTTTACAAAAGTTGGTGGAAATATCTTATTACAACATGGGACGTATTCGATTGGAATGGTCACAGATTTGGACTATTTTAGGAGAACACTTCAATCAGGTACACGACTTTCCTCATATCTTTGGAAACAATGTCATGTCCTTTTGCTGACTTGGGGAATAACCGATCTTTGTTGCTGCAACAGGTATGTTGCCATCCAAATGCGAACGTCAGCTTTTTTGCATTGGACTCTCTGCGTCAATTGGCGATGAGATTCCTGGAAAAGGAAGAATTGGCCAACTTCAAGTTCCAGAAGGACTTCCTGAGACCCTTTGAGCACACAATGATACACAGTAGCAATGCGGATGCGAAGGATATGGTTCTACAGTGTCTCAATCAAATGATATCGGCTAGGGTGGTAAACTTACGATCAGGTTGGCGGACCATGTTCGGCGTGTTCTCCGCTGCCTCCAAGGTATCAACCGGTGAGCCTTATTATCCGCCTTGAGGCTATGCGTTAGAATGATTCGACTGATGCCAAAACTTGATGAGTTTTTTGAAGAACGAGTAGCCACCCAAGCATTCGAAATTGTTCAGCGCGTAAACAAGGAACATTTCACACAGGTCGTGGCATATGGCTCATTTGCCGATATGACCGTCTGTATCACCGATTTTTGCAAAGTGGCTAAATTCCAAAAAGTCTCCCTACATGCGATCGAAATGCTCAAGCATCTCATTCCTGCCATGTTAAACTGCCCGGATTGTCCATTATGCCCTAGTGCGGCTGGTCGTGTAGCTGCGGATCCAGCTTCAATCGATGACTCGATGATCAAAGTCCGCTTCCACCATTTTTTTCCGTTTGATGGTCTTCGTAGCTGACAAACCCCATTGTATCTGTTTGGCAGTTCTGGTTTCCCATACTGTTCGCATTCTATGATATCACAATGAACGGCGAGGACCTCGAAGTTAGAAAACGGGCTCTCGACTATCTCTTTGATACATTGAAGAAATACGGAAACTCATTCCCTGATGCCTTTTGGGACTACATATCCAAAGAGGTGTTATTCCCCATCTTTGCTGTCTTACGGTCAAGGACTGACGTATCAAGGTTCAGCACCCATGAGGATATGAGTGTATGGCTATCGACTACCATGATACAGGCGTTGAGAAATTTGATTGATCTCTACACTTTTTACTTTGAAACTTTGGGACGTCGTTTGGATCGATTGTTAGATTTGCTTTGCGAATGCATTTGTCAAGGTTAATACCAAAGATCGCTTCAGACACAAGAATTGAAAGCTAATCTGGATTGTTTTTAGAAAATGACACGCTCGCTCGAATCGGTACTTCTTGCCTCCAACAACTCTTGGAGAAGAATGTGCGGAAACTTGACGCTGAACGCTGGGAACGAGTAGTCACCGCTTTGATGAACTTGTTTCGTACCACCACAGCTTATCAACTTTTTGATATAAACCTCCGCATGCCGGGCGCCGAGTCGACTGAGGGGGCAGAGGCTTCACCCTCGCCAATGCATGATCAGTCGCGGTTCATTGCGCCGACGCCACTTTCACCAGCACCGGCTGATGAGCTAGAGCGTTCTTCGAACAGCTCAGTCCCTATGACATCGGGTGAAAGGAAGCGAGTATTTCGCCAAATCATCGTCAAATGTGTCCTGCAACTTTTATTGATCGAGACAACAAACGAACTTTTGAACAACGTCGAAGTCTATGAGCTTATTCCACCCGCCCAGTTGTTGCGTCTCTTGAGCGAGGTAGATAGTAGTTATAGGTTTGCAAAGAGGTTTAACGCGGACAAAGAGTTGCGGTTGGGGCTGTGGAAAGTCGGTCAGTGTAGGATTGACATTGTTGCCATTGCTTCGCGATGTCTGTCAATTTAACTAACGCGCCTAAATATGCGAATGATTTAGGATTTATGAAACAATTGCCTAATCTCCTCAAGCAAGAAAGTAGCAGTGCTGTAACATTAGTACAGGTGTTGTTGCGACTTTATGCGGATGCTAGGCCAGACCATCTGGCGAAGCGTACAGAGACGCTGGAAGCTTTTGTTCCGTCAGTGTCTTCTCCTACAGATGCACTCCCAAAGGCATGATATGATGCTGAACCTTTTTTTCATTTGTAGACTTGGGCTCGATGTGATAGCCGGATATGTCATGCTCGACCCAGAAACTCAGGGACGCAACGTAGCAGCATGGACACCGGTAGTAGCTGAAGTCTTGCATGGATTCTGCATCTTTGAAAGAGACACCGTTAGTTTTGACCACTGCGCACCGTCTACAGGGCTTGCTTCACGACTGACTTGCGCTTTTCTCGTGATGCAAAGTTTCTATCGCATCTCCCTTCCCTTTATCCATTACTTCTCGATCTCCTCTCGCGCGAGGTACCCCCCGACATCAGGCCCAACTTGCACAAATGCTTTTGGCGTGTTGGACAAGATGCTCTAGGGTATACTCAGTCCGCTACGAACAACGAATCACTGGTTGCTGCCTCTAGTCTTCATTCAGCAAACAGCTCAACAGAGTAAGATTATCAACGACATGAAGGTATTTTCCGAAGGTGCAACATTCACACCCACTTTCAACTCAATAGAAGATAAATTATTAGATTCACTAAGCCGATGTGACTAGCTCAACCGATCATTTTTCAGTTATGTTTCTGTTCTTTTAGGAATCCTTGATGAATTAATTACAAAAGGTGAAGAGATTTTTCCACTTACAATGCCATAAAGTTATGCTGTAAAGATCCTTGTTACTTCAAAACTATAATATCTATGGGGCTTGAAAATTGTTCCACATCAAGAATATATGGGAAAACTCTAAAAAGTTCTTGGCAGAGCCCACAGTGTGAGAAGTTGAGTTCACCTGCTGAACACCGAGTAATGTGTGTATTGACAAGCACTAGAGGATATGTGGGCATTTCCGCAACAGTTGAATCATGATGGTGATTAGGTGACATCAATTGTAGGTACTATGCAATTCCAATGAGGCAATACTGGTTTAGTACCACCAGAGGAGTTAAAAAAATCAAATTATAAAACATGCAATTATGAATGGGATGGATTGGATGGTCAATGTGATTAGAAATGTGATTGAAAGATAATGTTTGGGCGACTTGGTTTATTTACAACACTTTGTGGGATGCTGGAGATTCGAGTGTCAACAGGCCGGAGCTCAGTTGAAGTCAAAGTTCACCACTTTTCCGTGTGACGGTACGGTCTGCTGGCAAATGGTTTGCCAGTGTCAAAAAAGAAGTTAGTCGCGACTTTGCTCGCGATGTGACACGAACGTGACGTGTCTGGCATATACAGTCATTCGAGATTAGCTTGGCCGAATCTCGTTTTTTTTTTTTTTTTTTGCCAATACAGGCAATTTTATAAGCATAGCCTTAAAACGGGTCAGGCTAAACAGCCTGCCACGTCAGAGCGCTTCAGTCATCCACCTGCCACCACATCCGTCATCCATCCATCCATTCGCCTCAATTTCATCGTTCCACTACAATTTCAATCAAATCTATCCCGCAATGGGATTCGTGACATACAGTCCTCAGCTGAAAGTCATCGCTATTCACAAACTCGTATCTGGACAATCACCTCAATCAATCAACAAAGAACTTCTTACGACGATATCGGACAAATCTTTTGTGCGGTGGAATGCTCTCTACACTCATACTCACGCGGTTATTCGCAATCCGGCTACCTATGAACGACGAGGCCGCCCAACGCTTTACTCTGACGAAGACCGAGAGTTCATGGTTGAACTCATCGAAAACGATCCCTGTCTGTTCCTCGACGAAATCCAAGAAGCCATGTACGATCATACTGATCTACTGGCTTGTCGACAAACCATCGCCAACGACTTGAAGGAGCGCCTCTTCCTTACCGTTCACAAGGTTTCCAAGGTCGATCCGAACCAGTCACCTGTTTTACAAGGGAGATTCTCGGCTGCTATTGCCCATATCCCATCCGGGTATTTGGTATTCTTAGGTGAGTTTTTCATTCTCTTCTTTCTTCTGGAAGAGCTTCTACTGATCTGTGATGTTTCTTCCTAACATTTACAAAGATGAGACCGGTTTGAAATTGCCAGATGTTCAACGTAGTCACGTTCGGTCCAAGAAAGGCAAACACCCAAAAGCTTTGAAACGCTCGAGACACGGACCTCACTACAGCGTCCTGGCTGCAATCTGTGAAATGGGCTTATTAGCCGTGAATGCCAAGCTCAATGCTTATCGTCGAAACAAATTCGAAGCATTCTTGAAACATGTTTTAGTAAGTTTATTATCTCTTCTTTTTCATCTTCAAAAACCAAGCTGATAATGGGATCCTCGTTCAAGTTACCTGTCATGCAACCATACCCAAATCGAAATTCGGTTCTGGTGATGGATAATGCGACTATCCATCACCGTGGATCAATTGAAGCCTTGTGTGAAGACGCAGGGGTTTTATTAATATACAACTCACCTTGCTCACCGGAATTCAATCCGATTGAGCGGGTATTCGATATCTTCAAGGCTTCTCTTCGACGCAATGGTTTACTTGCAGTGGCTCAAGATAAATTGAAGTGCCTCAAGAAGGTTATGAGTGATGTTTGCACCAGTACTTTTATTATCAGTTTATACAAAACTTGTGGTTACAGACCACGTGATCAATGATGAAAAGGAGCTTGAAATTTGTCTAATTACAAAATTGTGTTAACACAAATTGCTTTATGGTTTTATAATAAAAATGCTCAAAGAAATGAAATCCTGATTGTAAACTTCCAAGTGTCTTAGACCCAAACTGTGAGCTGGTAAATTTGACCACTGTCAGGAGAATGAGATTAAAAAGATGAGATTAAAAAGATGACTTTGAAGAAACAAACTCAAAAAACAACTTGAGTTTTGGCAAGCATATCAAAACTCGGGACAACAACATGTTTCTTGAGTTTGAAGAAACATCGTACTTTTTTAGTTCTTGAGTCTTAAGAAAGCCAATATTTTTACTTTTTCTTGCTTTGAGTATGTAAAGTTCAAAATATATTTGAACATTGAAAACCTCACTTGTGACTGTGTTCTGTCTGGACCGCAATTTTTTTCACCAAATAACATTTGCATTACAGAATAATCTCAAACAACACAGATAATAATATATAACAGTAGTACTGTCTTATAGCTACAACATGATGTGGCTTATGGGAAAAGGTCAGTGCTTTTCACAAGATAAGACTAGACTCATCCACGAGCTAAATTCTTGAGGTGTTGTCGATACAACACAGCGTTTTCATGAAGACGCACACGAGGCCCAAACTGAAATCCAAAGTTCTTCATCGCTTCTATGTCGAGTGCTGAAGACAAAAACATCTCAAAGTTGACTATCTCGTATTCTTTGAGCAGACCACGAGTGTGTTGATCCTCGGGACTGATTTCGCAATACTCGAGGTAACGTTCGAATAAAGGGAGGGGTCTTGGGGCTGGAGAATCCGTTCGAGGAGCAGATTGTTGGGGAATGTTATGATTGTTGTTGGTGTTGCTTGAAACCAACCCGTTCCCAAGCAATAACATTGAGTTTTGAGGTCCAGCCAAGCCAGAACAAGAAGGTACTGATTGGTTGCCAGATTTCTTTTTCCCTTTCGCATGTTCAATTGGACCGTATTTGAACTGGAGGCGACGAGGTGGGTTCACCTGGGTAGCTCCAAATCGCTTGTGTACCTGTGTCAAACCGATCAAAAGAAAGTTAATTTGCTTTTCAAAATGATTATGTAAAGAGATGAGAAGACTTACTATGTCATTTGCCTACCATAGTAGAATCGTCCGGTTTAACAAACCCCATGCACTCCAAGCCACCAATGTTGGTATGACCATAGTCCAAGCCACCAATGTTGGTATGACCATAGCTGATTAAGAGCTTGTTGAGCTCAGTCTGAATAAGGCTGTTGACTCCGATGCTCTGTTTCAGAAGAAGAATCAGCAAATTTTTGAAAAAGAAATGAAATGAAAGAAATGAAAGAAATGAAAGAAATGAAAGAAAGAAAGTTCACCAGTATCCAACGCATCGGGATGGCGGTGGGCGACAGATTGATTAAATTGCAAGTCCTGTTCAGAACGATTCAAAACAATTGTTAATAGCGTGTTGAGAATGTGAAAAGGAAGAGAAACTTACCTTAGAGATAGTTCGAGCCTTTTTCTTTGGGTCCTCCATGATGAGACGGAATCCAACTTCCTTGCCTCTCTTGAGGATGATCATCTTCTTCAAATCGTCAAAAACTTCGTCGTTTGGAATTAAAGGTAGGGCGGTCTTGCTGAATGTTTCACCGTTACAGACATACCCCTTGAAATCAAGGTTACCTTTGTCATCAGCGGTCCTGAGAATGTCACCGCAAGGTGGCTTATTGGCATTGCACGCCTTGAAAAGAGACTCCTTCACGTCGTTGAGAGTAAACCCGTGGATTTTGATTAATGCTTCGAATGGTACCTTGGTGACGTAGTCGATGTAAGTTACAGTCGCCCCGGAGCGCTTCTCAGCATCGGTAAGGTGGATGGGGCTAAAGACGTGATACCCTATGCTGGTTCAAGTGGGTACACTATTGGTAGAGGGGACTATGGGTCCAGTAGGAGCTAAAATGGGTCCAGTAGGAGTTCGAATGGGTCCAGTAGGAGTTCGAATGGGTCCAGTAGGAGCTAAAATGGGTCCAGTAGGAGTTTCGAGGTTTGGACTGGGTGATTGGGTTAGATCCACATCAACATGTGGATCTAATAGAATCATGGTCAGTTTATGTTGGGTATTCAAGAGTGAGATAAAGGGAAAAGTACTGACCTGCAATGGCACGTTCAATTCGTTGGTCGAAAAATTGATTTCCAAACATAGGATCCCTATGATTGGAATCAAAATCGAGCATGATCGCCGATCCAGAAGGTCGAACTTGAGAGGCCATCGGAGTATAAGATGGTAAACCACCAGGAAAGACCTCGATATCCGAATCTAAAGTTGAATGTAAATCAAGTTAAAGCCTCTGATCAAGGTTCGAAAGAAAAGGAAGTACTGACCTGGATCAATCTTTGGATGGTTCTTACAGCGGAACTCACGAAAACCCGGATGCTCGTATGGATTGATATGAATGACTTCCGAGTCAAGATATTGACGTTTCCCGCCGAATCTGACATCTTCCCAGTGGTGTCCGGGTCTAAAAACCAGGAATGAAGGTAATCAGCTACTGTATAACGCTGGAATCAAGGAATGGATACAAAGGAAAACTTACGTTTCATAATAATAAGGTGAACCACCTCTGCCGAGCTCAGGACTGAAGCCTTCAGGTCCGGCTCGCCTGGCCTGTCTGTTCGCACTAGAAAGACAGAATGGTGAGTTGGTTATCAATGACAGAGGAAAAGAGAGGATGCTTACATTTCTAATGCTCTTCTCGCTTCCTCCTCTGCCAATTCCATTTGTTGTTTCGTAGGTCGTTTCGGCATGTTGAGATCGTTGAGAATAAACAGATACGAGGCTTTTAAATACCGAGAAGGATCATTCAAAAGCAGATCGAATGGTTTGAAAGGAGTTGAATGGATATCGAATGGTTTGAAAGGAATTGAAGGATTTGGGAGCAGATCGAAAGGAATTGAAAGGAGTTGAATGGAATTGAAGGTTTTGAAAGGTTTTGAAAGGAATTGAAGGTTTTGAAAGGTTCTGAAAGGAATTGAAGGATTTGGGAGCAGATCGAAAGGAATTGAAGGATTTGGGAGCAGATCGAAAGGAATTGAAGGATTTGGGGCTATTTATGCTTATAAAATTGCCTGTATTGGCAAAAAAAACAAAAAAAAAACGAGATTCGGCCAAGCTAATCTCGAATGACTGTATGTTCAAGTTAGCTCGGCCGCGCAGATGGGGCTTTGTTCAGCTGATCTTTTCTTGGAGTTAAAAGCCATCCCAGTCCCCACAAATTTCTTATGGTTCCTGAAATGTTGAAGGTCAGGTTGTTGAGACTGAGGAGAGGGGCTCGAGGCCCTGAGGCTGCAGTCATGGTGTAATGGGCAAAGCCAACGCTTGATGTGCCGTGCCCGTCACGTGAAAAATACAATAGCTTGGGAGACTGAAAGCGACATGCGACTGGGTCGCTCTCGCTGAGCTTTCTTCAAACCTTGGTGCACTCAATTTCTCGACTCTAGACTCAGACAACAATTATCTTAGCTTACCACGATCAACAGAAAAGATGATAGAAGGCACAGATCAGTCACACCACCAAGCTCAACCTGTTGAGCTACCGTTTGAAATTATAACTTACATCGTGGACTTTTTTGTCGATCTATTGGACGAAGACTCCGGGTCCGGCGCTGGAAGCTCTACTTCATCTCCCAAACTTCTCCCTTTGCGATTGATATCTAAGTCATGGTCTAAAGTTATCATACAAACTTATTTTCGTACTATTCGCTTGGACAACTCAAAACGCGTACAAATCATTCTGGACAACTGGACTGATGCGCTATATGGTCCGAACCAACCTTGCCCCGTTAAGCACCTTTACATCGGAGACTTAATGTACAATTTAGACCCAGACAGTAAAGCAGAATGTAAAGTCAAAGGTGATTTCCCCAATTAGCAACTCTGAAGAAGTCTGACCCAGTATCTGAGTTAGTTTTACCTTTTCTTTTGCTAAGTCGGTCGTAAAGAATCACCACCGGTATCGATCGACCAGGCGGTACGACTAATTAACCTGCTCGGAGCCAACATATACCATTTGAGCCTCGCATATAGTTGGTCAATGGGTATCTCGCCAGCCATGCTGGAGGCTGTTAAGGCCCTCGAAGATCTGGAAGAATTGCGCATCTTACATCATGAGACCTACTATAGAAAATCACGGGGGACTTACGATTCGAAATCCTTGGGCGATCTACTTGCCGTTGTGCCTCAACTCGAATGCCTGACGCTTCGTTATCATAAACTCGACGGGATGCAACTAGAGGCCATCTCTCTAGCCAACTTGAGACAATTCACCTTCACCTCTGCTCAACACAATGCCAAAGAGATTGCTCACATTTGTGAGACCGCAAAGAATAGTTTGACAGTTGTTGAGTTTCACTCAGAGGGTCTTGTAAATGATCTCGATATCATATTGGCACCAATCCAAGCTAACCTCGAAGGCTGCTTTGCTTATGGTTATGGTTGCCAGCTTCCGGAGTCTGTTCTCAAGATGGAATTTCCAAAACTCCGTGTACTAGGCAGAACCGATTGTCCCAAACAAAAACGTTACCCAATGGATTGGCTAGATTGGCCCATGTTTCGAAACGTTAGAACCATTGTTCAGGACACCTATCAAGCGGAGGGTGATTGGATAAAGACTTTGGAACCAGCCAGTCCGGAATGTTTTCAAGTAGTACCAAAATTGAAACTTATGATCTTTACCATGGTGGGATATGATATGTATCCTATAAGTCCTAAAATGGTCGAGGTCTTCAAAAAGGGCGGGGTTGAGTGTTACTATACATATGAAACACCACATTTGGAACTTGATGACATAATGGTCCGTATGAGTCTTCATCTAATCACAAAATGCAATTTAATAGTATATAAGATTCATGAGACATTTTGATTTTTTGAACGGATAACTAGGAGCTAGAGCTCGACCTCCATGAGCTGGATGAAGACACATGAAATTTTATGTATCTGTATCAATTGATTGTGATGTATCATTCTCCTCACAATTGCTATTGGGTACATCAAAAAAACAATTGAATAGTCAAAAGCTATGTGCAATAAATTATGTCTGTGCTCTTGCTGTAGTGCTGGTGCAAAAGAGAGCAAGGTTTTGTCATCAACTGTCAAATGTGAGTGGTGTGAGTTTGGTCTGATCAAGTTTGCATCACAGGATCACATGACACTGTGAGGGTAGTGGATCTCTTCATGGTGCAAAATGATTGAAACTAAGGATTCAAATGTGTGCTTCATATTGGTCCAAGAAATCTGAAAAAACCAGGAAAGTCAAATTGTGCTACACTCCCTCTTGGAAGACTTTGAATGCTGTAGAGAAATCCAAGCACTCAGTTTGGTATTTTCAAGCTTATCCTGTAAAAACAAATAGAAATGCAGGACTTGTTGTGATTCCCTAATTTGGACTTTCCCTTTGTTTCTTATTGTACGCGCTTTTAGCGCATTACTCTGCTTTTATGCTTTTCATTTCATTCTATTTTCTATTCTCTATTCTCTTTACTTTACTTGTAAACGGATCTTCCAGATCCGTCCCGATCATGTACCGCCCTTTCAAGTCACTAATTGTAGACCGAATCCAGCAGTACCGGATTCGGCCATAACCCTCCTCCACTTATCTTGTATCACGATGATCGTCGATCATCTCTCGTTGTATCACCAGATTGTCGTTTCCTTATCCGTACCTCACTCCGAGATGCTCGCGTATATAAATAGCTCTCATCTCCCAAGGAAATGCAACCTCAAGTTACTTCCTACTTATTTTCCGCCACTTGAAAGTGAGTAGAATCACAAATAATTATTTGTGTGTTTTCATTATCTTTTTTTTCTCTCTAACTTTCAATCACTCAACCCTGATATTGAAAGAGTTCAATAAGTTAATCCGTGCTTCTGTTTGTTTTCCTAACTTTGTGCTTTCCTTCGAAATTCCGACTTAGATATCCCCATCGGAACCAACAACCACCAAAGTTACAAACCCTCGCACCCATACCCTTATCATCGTAAGTTTTTAGAATTTCTTAGCTAGCTATTCCAACCTCCTACGACACTCTTCCCTCGATCAGTTAGAAGTATTAAAAGATTCTTTTCTCCCATCACACACAGAACCACCTACAAACACCTTACAAATCGTTAACAACCTCATCACCGTTTATCAAAACCTTTTATCGCGCTTTTTAGCAAACTCGATTTTTGAATCACTTAACATTCTTTTTGAAGAATTCACGTACGTATTTTTAGACTCTGATCAAGTCTACCCTTAAAAGAACTATTTTTTAATTCCACCTTTAACTCTTTTACGAACAGCATACCATTGAAGATGGAAGAACCCAATGGATTCGTTTCAATCCCTGCCGAAGATCTTCGGCTAATCCGCGCTCAACTTGAGCAATTCGGTATCGAACTGCACCAACGAGAGCAAAACCACGCTCGCGAAATCAATGATCTCCGTCAACAGAATCAAAATGTATTTCAACAACAATCCAATCAGATCGGCCACCTAGAGAACTTACTCCACAATCGTAACCAAACCCCAGCTCCAACCAAGCCCGACGCTTTCCGCGCCGAGCCCAGAAAATTTACTGGTTATGGTGACAATCCGACTCTCTGGTTCTCCGAATTAGAATCAAATTTTAGGATGCATAGATATCCTGAGTCCTCCTGGGGCGAGATGTTGGGATCGTACCTCGACGAGGAAACTCACATGTTTTGGCATGAAGTCCGCAAGTCTCAAGGTGGTGCTATTACCGACTATCAAAGCTTCAAGGAACAGTTCTTAGGTCAATATAATTTCGACATGATGGTCGAAGAAGTCTTTGAGAAGATTAAAGTATGTTACTACAAAGGAGACATCAATGACTACATACTCAGATTTCGTCGATTAATGGCATACATACCTTTAGAAGTTCTCACTTTTGAATCACGCAAGTTTAAATTCATGGACAAGCTCCCCGCCCATTACAGAGAAAAGATCAACAATAAAGAAGGCATCAGGTCAAAGAAGGACATGGAATTATTATACTCAGCTGCAAGAGAAGCCGAGCGAACAGTCAAGATTAACAACAGAAATTTCAAAGGATATGAAAATAAATCACCCTCTAACAGCAAGAACTCAGACAAGAAACCCAGCTACAACTTCAACCGCAACAGTCATTTCCGACAATCGAACTCCTTCGGCAAGCCCCACGTCGTCACTAACAGTTCAGGACCAATGGACTTAGACGCGGTCGACTTAACCAACGTCGAATGCTACAGTTGTCACGGCAAGGGACACATGGCTGATAAGTGTCCCCGAAACAACAAAAAGAAACCCTTCCACGGAACGAAGAACCGTTTCAACAACTCCGACCGTCGAAAACCCAATTTATTGATCATGGATCACCTACCTACTTATTTCCCTGATTCTTCCAATCCTTTTGACTCTTTCATTCCACCATTCCAAGATCACGAGCTCAAGGCTGAAGAACCATTCATGACCCCGTTCTCTGACGCCAATGGACATATCTACCGAGCCTCAAAGGAATCTTCTGAATCACTTAATGGACCCACCGAAGATGGTCGAGAAGATCTTGAAGAATACAAGAAGCATTATCTCGAAGCATTAAATGATATCGATCCTGAAACCCTCATTGATTTACAAAAAGAAAGAGAAGCAGTTGGTCGAGTTATGAAGGAAGCAGAAGATTATCGTTGTTGTAAGTCTTGCAAAGCTTATGGAAACGAGGAGAGCCCTCCAACCACCTCTAACGGTGTTACCTTCTTTGAACTAGATGCCCAACAAATCAACAACGTCAATAATAAACGCCCCGCCAGACAAGACACTCCCGTCAAACATATACCTGCTCATGATCCCGAAAACAAGCATGACATGTACTATCTGGACATTGAAAGACAACTCAAATTGAACCCGGACAAGAAGATGAAGTTGGATCGCTCCCTTATTGATGGTTATCAATATACCACTGCTCGATCCCCTTCCCCTTTCAATTTTCCTGACCCTGTCGAATTAGCCGAACGTGAACTAGCAAGTGTAGAAGAGTGGAACCACATCCTCAAAACTTCGTACACAAGCTGGGCTGACAGGGACGACTTCGACTCTGTATGCACTCCCGATGACGATGACTCGAGTATCGCCGCCGTCGCATCAACAGGGGAACTTATGGAAGTTGGATCGAACATCACCGACTATGAAGATATGAAGCCGCAAGCAGTTGACTTGGGCTTTGCAGACACCGACCGTCTTGATTTATCAGTCGTCGAAATGGCACCTCTCTCTATGAAGAAGGATTACTTTGGAGCTCACTTGGACTTGGCTTCACATGAAGAAACCAACAAGACTTCCCTTCCTATCTACCCCTGCTTATTTCACAACTATTCCCTCGACGCTATCATTGACAGCGGAGCCGCCGCTAATTACATCTCATCAGAACGCGTTGACAAGATGAAGCAATTATCTCCTAGCAGAATTGAAATCAGAACAGTCAACCGACAAGGGGTCCGACTCGCTAACGGAGCAGAAGAAGCCTGCACCAAGATCGCCCTATTCGAACTTGAATTTGAAGACGATCGTAGCATGGCAACCTTCAAATGTGATATCAAGGCTTTCATCCTCCCTCTTCCTAATATTTCTCTCATTCTTGGTCTACCGTGGTTAAGAGAAACCAGCCCACTTGTTAATTACACCACTGGAAATTATATCGTCAAAAATGGATTCATCGTCAGACCCAGATCCTACGAACCAAAACTCTTTACTATGGACGATGCTTCCTATGGTGACCTTTTGGAACGACTAGCTAAGCAAGTAGCACCTGAATGCTGGAAAGAAGAAATTTCGACAGTCAACAGTAAGTACCAACATCATATTGATACTGGTGACGCAAGACCAATTAAAACTCACGGAAGACCCCATACTCCCCCTGAACACGCAATCATCAAACAATTTGTAGAAGAAAGCTTGGCTCAAGGCATCATCGAACCCTCTGATTCACCTTGGAGCTCGCCACTATTACTGGTCAAGAAGCCTGATGGATCAAACAGAGTATGTGTTGATTATCGAGCACTAAACAAAGTCACAAGAAAAAACGCTTACCCTCTTCCTCGCATCGACGATGCTTATTTGTTTCTCTCCGGTTCCAAGTATTTCTCCACTATCGACTTGAAATCTGGATTTTGGCAAGTCCCAATGCACGGCGAGGATAAGCAGAAAACTGCGTTTACTTGTAGGTTTGGTCATTTTCAATGGAAGGTGATGCCCTTTGGGCTGTGCAACGCTCCTGCAACCTTCCAAGAAATGATGAACACTATGCTAAAAGATGTTATTGATAAATTTGCATTGGTCTATTTAGATGATGTCATTATCTACTCGAAAACAGAAGAAGATCACAAGGAACATGTCAAGGCTGTTTTCGAAATTTTGAAGAAAGAAGGTTTAGTAGTATCAGGAAAGAAGTGCAAGTTTGGGAAATCGTCACTATTATTCTTGGGTCATATCGTAGATGGAAATGGTATCAGAACAAACCCGGAAAAAATCAAAAAGATAGTTGAGTGGCCGACCCCAACTAACATTTCTCAAGTCCGTGGATTTCTAAACTTATGTACCTATTATAAACGTTTTATCTTAAAGTTTTCCTCAATCGCATCTCCTCTCTATAAGTTGACGGAAG